ACTTTCCCAGGCCGCAGGGCATGGAGATGGAGGCTCCGGGGAGTTTTCGCGTCCCCGCGACACCTGGCTGTGTCCTCCGCTCCCAGGTCTGCACCTCGTGGGTTCCAGAGTCCAAGAGGGAAAAGAGAAACTTTGCCCAATTTTTTAGAGCGGCTCCTCCTGGCTGGAACCAGCTCTTGTAGACCAGGCTGGCCTCAAACTCACAGAGATCCACCTGCCTCTGCCTCCCGAGTGCTGGGATTAAAGGCGTGCGCCATCACCGCCAGACAAGTTCTGTTTTCTAAATATACTTAAATCCTTATAGTATTTGTCCTTCATTTTTCCTTACTGAAATCCATTCTCTCATTTCTTTTTATTTTTTAAATAAAAAATGCTTGTTGGGAAGGGTTAGAGGTGTTTTAGTTTGGTTTTGTTTTGGATTGTAGAAGCAGGACTTTACTCTGTGGCTTTGGTTGATCAGCAAATGAGAATGTAAACTATCCTGTCCCCAAACTTGCATCAATCGTCCTGCCTGTTGCATCTAAAGTGCTGGAATTACAGGCATGTATTACCACATTCGGCTTTCAGTTCTTTTTAAGATATTTTTGTTGAGATACAATTCATATACCATAAAGTTTACCCATTTAAAATTTACAATCCAGTGTTTTTAGCACATGTATACAGTTGCATGGCCATAATGATAGCCTAGTTTTAGAATATGTCATCATCCCCAAAGAAGCTGCCCTATTTGAAACCACCACAGCTGTCTTGCTTGGACAATCGCAGTATAGCATGCCTGATTTCTATTTCTACCTTTGTCCAATACAGCCAGCCATTCTTAACACACAAGCCAAAATGATCTGTTTAAAACCAACTGAGTGATCTGGTCTCCTTACATCTCTAATTTTGGTCTACTCTCTCCCAACCTTTTCCCTGGATTTCTGATTCTTTGTCATACCATCTGTTCTAGTTTGCTATCTGTTGTAATAAACTCCATGACCAAAAGCAACTTGAGGAGGGAAAAGTTTATTTGGCTTAAAGTCCTGATCACAGTCACCATAGTGGGAAAGTCAGAGCAAGAGCTGCAGCCAAGACCATGGAAGAATGAATGCTTCTTACTGGTTTGTTCTCTAGGGCTTGCTCAGCCTGCTTTCTTATGAGCTCAAGATCACCTGCCCAGGTGGCACAGCTCACAGTGAGCTGCCTGGTCCCACATCAATTGTTAATCAAAACGCCCCCACAAACACATGTCCACAGGCCAATCTAATGGCAATAATGTCTCAGTTAAAATTCTCCCTTCATTGGTAGCTCTAGTTTCTGCCAAGTTGACAAATACTAAGCACCATATACTGGCCTTGGTCCTTCTTAAGCATAGCAAGCACAGATGCTGCAATGGAGCCCTTGCCTGTGCTAAATATTTCTGACCAGATGTCCACATGATTCACCTCTTCCTCAGTGATCTGATGATCAGATGGAGGAACCTTGCTAAAGGAATCAAAAAAACCTGACCCTTTCTCCTATGAGGATTTACATCAAGTACTTGACTTTATTATTATTATTATTATTATTGTCATTATTATTATTATGGTTTTTTGAGACAGGATTTCTCTTGGCTGTCCTGGAACTCTCTTTGTAGACCAGGCTGGCCTTGACTCACAGAGACCCACCTCTGCCTCCTAAGTACTAGGATTAAAGGCGTGTGCCACCACCACCCAACTACTTGACTTTTAAACATGTAGCTGTACAGTTGTACAAGTTATTACTTGTGTAGTAAGCCTAATTGCTAAACTCCTAACATTCTGCATTGATTTCTGTGATGAGAAAACTAAAGTTTACAAACATGATGGAACTATCTAAGATCAGAGAGTATAACTCAGAAAATGACAATAAATCGGGCATGGTGATACAGACTTTTAATCTCAGCACTGAAGAGACAGAGGAAGGTAAGTATGTGAGTTAAAGACTAGCCAGGGCTACATAGTGAGACCCTATCTCAAAAACAAAACCTATGAAGGCAGTTAGCACCTAGGCATAAAGGAACATTTTCCTAGCCACCTATAGGCCATAGAGACCTCAGAAGAAACCAGACTTGCCTCTACTTTGATCTTAGAGTTAGAGCCTTCAAAACTGACTAAAAGTAGTAGCTAGGCCTGGTAGTTCACACTTATAATTCTAGCATGTATGAGGCTGAGGCAGGAGGATTGCTGCAAGTTTGGAGGGAAGCTGGGCTACATAGTTCCAGGTCAGCCTGGGTTACATAGTGAGACCCTGAATACAAAACAACACAACCAAGAGACAGTACATTTCAGATCTTGAAGCAAGCCATTATCCAGTCTCTGTTTTGTTGTTGTGGAAGTCACAGCAGAGGGATAGTTGTGTGGCTACCCAGAACAAATAGCTTCACTTCAAAACGGGCTTATTTAGACCTGCACGGTGGCTCAGCAGGTAAAATCACCTACCAGGAAAGCCTGGTAAACTAAGGTCAGTACTGGAAGCCCGTGTCAGTGAAGCAAAGAGAACCAACTCCACAAAATTGTCCTCTGAGCACCACAATATCCCCATTCCAGTAATAATATGTAGAAATTTAAAAGGAGGCCCTTTTTTGGTTATTTGAGACAGGGCTTCTCAGTGTAACAGTTCTGGCTGTCCTGGAACTCGCTTTGTAGACCAGGCTGTCCTGGAACTCACAGAGATCCACCTGTTTCTGCCTCCTGAGTGCTGCGATTAAAGGTGTGTGCCACCAACACCTGGCTAAAAGTAGGATTATTTTAAATAACCCTTCTGTAAACATTAGCTTCTTAACATCCTCTCTATAGGAAAGGAGACTAAATGACAGAGGAATAAGGTATAATCATCTCACAATACTTCTCTACTGTGGACATTTGGCAGTGTCTGGAGATAGTTTTGGTTGTCATGAGTGGAGGAAGAATTCAAAGATGTTGATATTGGAGACCAGAAATATTGTTAAACATCCTACAGCTCCTGCCCTCAGTGAAGGACTATCCAATTAAAAAACAAGAATAGAATTGAGATTGAGAAACTCATCAACAATCTCCGTCCATATTACCCTAAATGTGTCCTATCTCGTCTGATCTCGGAAGTTAAGCAGAGTTGAGCCTGGTTAGTACTTGGATGGGAGACCGCCTGGGAATACCGGGTGCTGTAGGCTTTGAGAGAGAGAGAGATAGAGAGAGAGAGAGAGAGAGAGAGAGAGACCCATCAACAGATGTACTTCTCAGAGTGTAATTAAAAGTGGCAAGGGTCCTGATTGGATAATCCAAGCACTGAAGAGGCAGAGGCAGATGGATCTCTATGAGTTTGAGACCAGCCTGGTCTACAAAACCAGTTCCATGACAGCCAGGGCAGTTACACAGAGAAACCCTCTATTAAACAAAACAGGGGAAGCCGGATGTGCCAGTCCACACCTTTAATCCCAGCACACAGAGACTGCAGGAGCCTCTGAGTTTAAGGACATTCTGTTCTCCATATACAATGAGACCCGGTCTTAAAAGAATGGAAAATGACATTTGTAGTTTTTTGCAATTTGCACCTTTTTTTTTTTTGAGACAGACCTGTGTAGCCCAGGCTTCCTCCATCTCTCTGGTGCTAACATTGCTACCATTCCTGACTGAAAGTCCAAATGATTCTAACATTGGGCTCTGGAATTTATAGAGGTGAGGTTAAATGTGATTAAACAAAACTTACTCTGTGATCTTAGATAGTTCCATCATCTTAGCAATTAGGCCTAGTACACAAGTAACCAGACTCTAACTGTATAGCTGTTTCAAAGTCGAGTACTTGGGCGGCCGGTGGTGGCACATGCCTTTAATCCCAGCACTCAGGAGGCCAGCCTGGTCTACAAAGAGAGTTCCAGGACAGCCAAGAGAAACCCTATCTCAAAAAACCATAATAATAATAATAAAGTCAAGTGCTTGATGTAAATCCTCATAGGAGAAAGGGCCAGGTTTTTTTTGATTCCTTTAGCAAGATTCCTCCATCTGATCATCAAATCACTGAGGAAGAGGTGAATCATGTGGACATCTGGTAAGAAATATTTAGCACAGGCAAGGGCCCCATTGCAGCACCTGTGCTTGCTATGCTCAAGAAGGACCAAGGCCAGTATATGGTGCTTAGTTTTTGTCTAAGTATCCCATTTCAATATAATCGCTTCTTTAAAGACCTTACTCCCAAGTGCAACCATATACATAGCTATTTGGAGTTAGAGCTTTAGCGTGAATTTTGGGAGATTGGTCCCTAATATCGACTTTCTTCCACCTCTTCTTTTTGTCCTGTGTGTGCTGAGCAACCTCCTATGTGCAGACACTCTTAAGTGCTGGCAATAAGCAACAGACCTGGCTACGGTAAGTTAGGGAGGACAGATTTTTTTTTTTTCGCCAAGTACCATCCAAATATTCTATTAAAGTTTAGAAAGGGAGGGCAGATGGCCTTCTCCCCTTCGCCTCAGACTTTCCAGCCTGGCTGGGCCGGTGAAAAGGCTACATAAAAACTCAGCTAACTATGTTAGTGAGTCAGCAGCCTGTCAAGCTGGGACTCAACTTGGCTAGGAATCAGCAGACGGTGGCCAAGGCAGCAGCATCACGCCCTACCTCAATTTCCCGCCTCCACTCCCCCCACTGTGACGCGGGGGCCCCTGCCAGCCCCTTCCGGCCTCCAGGGCCTCCCTCGCTCCACCCATCGCGTGCCCTCCTGTGGCAGTGCACCCCTCCCTGGCCGGCATCTCCCGGGGCTCCCACCCGAAGGCGCCCTCTCGGCCATGCCTGCGCCGTAGAGCAGAGGGAGGGCGGGAGGCCGGGCCCACGGGCGGGGGAGGGGGAGGGCGGGGAAAAGCACCGCCTGTAGCCAGGACGCCATTTGCCACTGCCGAACGTGGGCGCAGGCGGCTTTCGGAAGCACCGGTGACCAACCTCTTCCGAGCACGCTTCTCGGCCTCCCGCATCGTCTTCATCCCGCGCGTTTCTCAGTGTCGCCCCCCGGAATCACCGCCGTTGCCGACACCACCCGGAGCACGGTCCCGCACGCCGCCAGCCCGTCTTTGCCGCCATGCCCAAGAATAAAGGTAACGACGCCGGGACCGCGGCTTTGCTCCCTGCTGGCTTCCCCGGGCCAGCTCGCAGCCTCGAGGTCAGCTCAGGCCGCAATGACCTTCCTGCCATCTTCCCTTGCCTCTCCTCCGGCAGCATTCTCTGCGTCCTACTTGGAGCTCGGCAGAGGCGCAAGGAAGTTACTCCTGGTTCCCAGTTTGGCCACATTGGGGTGGAGCCGACGCCATTTTTGTAGGGCCTCCTGTGTGAGAATGTGGGCTTCTGCCCCTGGTTCGCGCCACACTGACCGCGCCGCCAAGGGGACCCGTGGGAACACCTGCCTCGGGCTTCTTGGCTTTCCGGCACGTGGGGAGTTAAGTCCTGGGAGCGACTCTGAACTTTGAAAAGGGGTAATGCCCTTCTTGCTTTCGTGCCCATCTGGCACCTCCTGCATAGGCTTCTTTATGAACACTTACTTGATACTGTTGAGGCTTCTCCCGAGTAGCCAGTGGTCAGTACGTCCGATGCACTTTTAAAGTTATCTCTTTACTCCATAACTTTACGAGGCATAACTCTACCCTCCCCCCCCCCCGGCACCCCAGAGCGCTTCATCCTATTTAGCCAAGTTTTCCACTTTTGCTACAGATCATGGATTTGTTTTAATGGAAAAATAAAAGCCTTTGAAGTTCCTTCTCTTCTGGGAACATGTTCTCAAGTTATCAGTCATGAGGGCACTTTTAATTTGGTATCTCCAAAATGAAGAGGCTCATCTAAGTAGAAGTACAGCATCCCTAAGACCAGCCTCAGTTTTATCTATTTTGTGGTAGTGGGTTTTTTTGTAGAACCGAATCTATCCTTAGCAGGAGTCTGCTGCTGCTCTGCCCTCAGGCTAAACCGGAACTCACTCAGTAGCTGGGACTAGCATTGAACTTGGGAATCTTCTGCTTCAGTTTACCAAATAGCTGGAATTACAGGCTTGTGATGTTCATTGTATAATTGTGCGAGTAAAAATAGAGGAAAAACTTGTGTTTCCCACAGGAGAGGGACCCATTACCCGACCCTTGGGCCAGTTGGTGGTGGCTCACACCTTTACTCCCCAGCACTCAGGAGACATGCCAGGAGGATCTCTGAGTTCCAGGACAGACTCAGGACTACACAAAGAAACCCCGTCTCTAAAGACCAAAAATAAGATAAAAATGAAGTCGTCTTTGGGCAGAAGAGATATCTTCCTGATTAAGAGAAGCAAAATTGGGTTCCCACACCCGCACGGGGCAGGCAGCTCCTGACTCCTATAACTTCAACTCTGAGGCCAGTAGGATCTCTGAGTTCCAGGACAGTCAGGACTTATACAAAGAAACGCTGTCTCGAAAAACCAAAAATAATAAGATTAAAATGAAGTCTTTGGGCAGAAGAGTTATCTTCCTGGTTAAGAGAACCATAATTAGCATCCCATACCCACCCACATAGGGTAACTCATGAGCGCTTGTAACTTCAGCTCTAGGGGATCCAGTGACCTCTTTTGGCCCACCTGGGCACCCCACCACACACACACACAGGTGCACACGTGCATTTTATTAAAACGAAGTCTTTGATAACTCATCCTTGGGGCCACCTCGCCCCCCGCCTGCCAGTGTTCTCTTTTCTGCTTGATAGCTGACTCCAGGGAGTCTGCTTAATTACCTAGCAATGTTCTGAGTACTTGGTCACAGTTTTGTGGACAAGTTGATTTGAGATCGTCTTGCTGTGTGGCCCAGGCTGACCTTGAACACACTGTCCATGCCATGCTTCAGGGCTTCAAAAATCAACGTTGCCAGTCTTTTTGTGTAGCAAGAATTTTTACTGATTGTCCTGAGAAAAGTGTAATTATAGGCATAATGTGTTCAAAGTCTTCAAATTGCTGTCTGTAGACTTCCTTATTCTGAGATGGCAACTGGATCACATCAGCAGGTGAGGTCTTATTCTCGCTTTAATTCTAGTGACTAGATTTTTGGTTTCCACACTAGTTGTAAGTCCTAAAAGGACGGGAATGGTGTCAGTCATAATGACATTGTCTCGATAGCACTTAGCCTAAAAGATGCTCAATAAGTATTTGTTGGACTTAGTCATTTCCCTCTGGTGACTCCACCCATAGGTGAATAGTAAGTTCCCCTTTGGTCCCAAGGAGACAGAACTATTCTAAATCACATCTTAGTATGTTTTAAGAAAGATCCTCCATCCTCCCTGGCCTTCTCTGAAACACCTCTGTTAAAGAACGAATTTGAGAATTGTTATTAAGCTTAAGAACTAGATAGTCTTTTGGAAAGAAAGTGGAGTTAAAAAGATGGTTTTTCTCTTTATTGCTGTTTTGTTATACACTCAGGCTTGGTCTTGTTTCAGTTTTTATTTTTTTTCTTTTGTTTGTGACAGGGTCTCACTGTGTAACTCTGGCTGTCCTGGAACTTATTCTGTAGACCAGGCTGGCCTCGAACTTACAGAAATCTGCTTGCCTCTGCCTAGCAAGTGCTGGGATTAAAACTGCACGCCACCACTGCCACATTTCTTTATTACTGTATAATATCCCTTTGTATTGTGTCACCATTTGTATGCTTTCCTAGAGAATGGCTCAATAGTAATTCCCAACACCTATATGGCAGCATACAATTGTCTGTAACTCCATTTGTAGGGAATCCAATGCCATTTCCCAGTACCTGTTTTGGCACTGGACATGTCCGTGATGGACAGACATACATAAACGCCAAACACCCTTAAACATTAAAGCACATTTTAAAGGAGGCTCTCGAGGCGGTTGACCTTGCTTTTAAACCAGACTGTCTCAGGTATGGTACATTTTAAAGGATGAGGTTCAGAATCTTTAACTGTTACTAGTCTTCTACCATCATGAGATAAGTATGCTCCATTCCAGTAGCCATAGCTTCATGTTTCTGCCTCCTCTCATCTTTTTACCAGCTCTTCTTTTCATAGGAGGGGTCAGGTATGAGAAAGGCGAGGTGTTTTTGTAAAATTTGTCAGGGCTCAGGATGGTGGCTCACACTCATAATACCAGCATTCAGGGGGCTGAGACAGAAGGACTGCCGAAGTTTCAAAGCTAGTCTGAGCTATAGTGTGAAACCCTGTCTCAAAAAAAAAAAAGAAAGCTGAGGCCCATGTAGTTAAGAGTGTGGTGACAGAAGTCTCCAGAAAGGAGCCCAAATATGAGGACTTTACTAGGACAGAGAGGGTTAGGGTTGGATCTGGGGTCCTGAGCTCATTGACTAAAATCTTGAGTGAGTTATTTAATATCTGACCTTTAGTAAACTTACTGATAAACTGGGAATAAATGTTAATATTCAAGGTGATTGTGACAAGTAAACAGATGGCATTCTTAAATAGTTAAGAATGGTCATTGGTCATCTACCGACTCATAGGGGCTGGTCCCACGCCCAGCAGTAGGTGGCCAGCACAAAAGGAACCCAGCAACATCTTTGGAAGTTCTTTGATCACATGTCCTGTTGGAACTTTTTTTTACCTTAACTGTTCTTTTGCTTATATATTATGGCTTCTGGGTGTGAGTTTTTTTGGGACTCATGTTTGGTTTTGTCATGTATCAATTTGTTTTCATTTATCTTATTGTGTTGTATTATTCCTTAGATGTCTATTCATTTTCTCATGAGAGAAGGGGGTGGATCTGCATGGGAGGGGAAGTGGGGGAAGTGAGGTATTGGAGGGAATCAGAATATATTAAGAAAAACTGGGGGGGGGTTCAAGACAGGGTTTCTCTGTGTAGCTTTGGAGCCTGTCCTAGAACTAGCTCTAGTAGACCAGGCTGGTCTCGAACTCACAGAGATCCGCCTGCCTCTGCCTCCCGAGTGCTGGGATTAAAGACGTACAGCACTGCCACCCAACTGAAAAAACATTTTTAATAAAAGGAAAAAAGATGAGGATGTTACTTAAGATATAAAGTCCCCAGGGAAAACTCTATGAGGGGTGGTGAGGGTAACACGGAAACATAAACCTGAATATGGTAAGTTTAACATGATTGACCAGATTAGGCGGAGTTTTAAATTTAATTGAATTTTAAAGATGGTTTTCTTTCTTTTTTCATAAACTTTTTTAATTTAACTTTATTTTACATGCATTGGTGTGAAGGTATCAGATCCCCTAGGACTGAAATAACAGATAGTCGTGAGCTGCCATGTGGGTACTGGGAATTGAACCTGGGTCCTTTGGAAGAACAGTCAGTGTTGTTAACCACTAAGCTATTTCTCCAGCCCCTAAAGATAGTTTTCTAAGTCTGTTAAACAGTATATGTTTATCACTGGTCCTTTGCAGGATGTTTTGCAGATGATTGATAACCTTTTCTTTTAACAACTCATTAGGAAAAGGAGGTAAAAACAGACGTAGAGGAAAGAATGAGAATGAATCTGAAAAGCGAGAGCTGGTGTTCAAAGAGGATGGGCAAGGTAAGAGCTGGATAGTTGGGTTCTTGTTAGATTTTTCTAGTTTATTTTTCTGTATTGGGGATCAAACATTTTCTGACTAAGAGACTAGACTTCTGGCTTCTTGCCTTTGAGTTTATTTGTACAGACAGTTGGGTGTTGGCTTTTTAAAGGATTTTAGTTAAGAATTTGGCATTTTAGGCTAGGCAGGGTAATGTATACCTTTAATCACAACACTTGGGAGGCAGAGACAGGCAGGTTTCAGGCTAACCAAGGCTATATGGTGATATCCCCACCCCAATCTTTTTTGTTGTTTTTCTAGACAGGGTTTTTCTGTAGCTTTGGAGCCTGTCCTGGAACTAGCTCTTGTAGACCAGACTGGCCTCAAACTCATAGAGATCTGCCTGCCTTTGCCTCCCGAGTGCTGGGATTAAAGGCGTGCACCACCACCGCCCAGCACAATCTTTTTTGTGTGTGTATTTCTTTATTATTATTTAAAGTTATACATAGCTTTGTTTTTTATTTATTTATTATGTATACACATGCCAGAAGAAGGCACCAGATCTCATCACAGATGGTTGTGAGCCACCATGTGGTTGCTGGGAACTGAACTCAGGACCTGCGAAAGAACAGTCTTGGGGCTCGAGAGATGGCTCAGTGGTTAAGAGCATTGCCTGCTCTTCCAAAGGTCCTGAGTTCAATTCCCGGCAACCACATGGTGGCTCACAACCATCTGTAATGAGGTCTAGTGCCCTCTTCTGGTCTGCAGACATAAACACAGACATACACACAGACAGAATATTGTATACATAATAAATAAATAAATATTTTTAAAAAAAAGAAAGAAAGAAAGAACAGTCGGTGTTCTTAACCTCTGAGCCACCTCTCCAGCCCTGCCCAATCATAAGATAAAGAAAATAGCCGGGTGATGGTGGTATATACCCTTAATCCCAGCCCTCAGAAGGCAGAGGCAGGCTGGTCTCTGAGTTGAGTTGGAGGCCAGTCTGGTCTGCAGAGAGTTCCAGGACAGTCAAGGCTACATAGAGAAACCCTGTCTTGAAAAACCAAAATAATAATAATAATAATTTGGTATTTTACCCAAGTAAAAGATAATTCTGGCTTTCTAAGAATAATTATTGTTATACTGATTCAGTAAGGATATCACTAACATTTAAAGTACTTGGACTGAGGATTCCATGAGATTGTTCTAAGGATTCAAAGAAATAAGGCTATGAAACAGGTAAAGATCTGAATGTGAACTGTATGAGGTATAATGTACATACTGGGACATGGCACCTTTGATCTCTAGACGTAGTGCGTGGTCACAAGGGCAGGAGTCAGTCTGTCTCCTTACTGAAAACAAGTAGATAATTAAAACATCTAATAACAGACCCAGGTTGTTATATTACAAAGTCTTGTTTCTGGTTCAACCATTAACTAGCCAAGTGTTTAACTCCCTTGTATTTATTTTATATTTGCCCAATGTATATTTATCCCTAACCAATGCAGTCACATGTTCTTGTCAATTTTCAATGGACATAAAAGGTGCTTTCATCAAAAAAAGCGAATAATATTTCATTCCTTTTTTTCTCCCCTACTCCATCCACGTAGAATATGCTCAGGTAATCAAAATGTTGGGAAATGGACGATTAGAAGCAATGTGTTTCGATGGTGTGAAGAGACTATGCCATATCAGAGGGAAATTGAGAAAAAAGGTAAGTGTGTGGACAGAACAGTTGTTTTGTTCTAATGTGAAAATGTAGAGGAGAGTAGAGGAAATGCCTTTACAGGTAGGGGTGTGTGTTTGTGTGTTGCGGGGAGCCACCCCAGAGCCCCTTAACATGTTACGCACAACCACACTTCAACCACTGAGCTACATGTCCAGCCTCCTACCTCTACAGATTTTATGGACCTGAGGATATTAGTGTAAGTCCAGTAGAAGACCATAGTGATCATTTTACAGATTACATTGTTTAAAGAATCATTTGCCTCACTTGTGTTGCATTCCTGCCCAAAACATGTGGTCTGAATCTGAATCATTAGGAAATGGTCAACAGATCTAATTTGGGGAACATTCTGGTGTTATGAAAGAGGGAAAGGACGAGGGAACTGTTCCAGTTTTAAGGAGAACTAAAGAATCCTGGCAGGTGGCCCTTTGGGTTCTGGGAAGTCCCGGCTCTGAGTGAGAGTGGGGTTCAGGTTGAGAGTGTATTTTATTTTGTTGATATCAATCCTTCACAAGGATAATAAATGATCATGAAAACTATATACATTTGGGTGGGTAAAAGACAGAAAAGTACAGCATTTTTCTGTTTTCATAGTAGATAGCCAAGTGCTTTTGGAACTCATCTGTTTCTAAGTGAATCATCTCTGAAATTTCTTGATTCTGCTTTATTATTGAAAATAGATTATGCAGTGACTTTTCTTTTGTAGGTTTGGATAAATACCTCAGACATTATATTGGTGGGCCTCCGAGATTACCAGGTAAAAATCACTTTTAAATTTGTTTATATTTTGTTGAACTTGATGAACCATTTCCTAAGAGCCCATTCATTGTATTGTAGCCATTATGCTTGGTGTCCCTGGCAGTGTGGTTCCCAAATGCCAGTGTAAGGAGTCAAGCATTTAGCTTGTATAGTGCAAAATGGTTTCCTTATCTTTACTATTTGAACTTTCCTCTTTTAAAATAAGTCATGTGGGACTGGAGAGATGGCTTGATGGTTAAGAGCACTGACTAATTCTAGGTCCAGGGGATCTGGCACCCGTGGCAAAACACTAATGCACATAAAATAAAAATAATTAGAATAGATGATACTACTATGTGGTCATTTTGTTCCTTTTTTTATTTTTTTTCTCTTCCTGTACAGATCTTTAAAAATCTAGAAACCATTATTGTAGGGTCTTACTGCTGAATGAATCCTGTTGCATCCCACAATGGAATATAGCCTGGTATTTTTTTTTCTAATCACTGACAAAAGCAAAAAGAGGGAAGGGTTTATTTTGGTTCAGTTTGAGGGGACAGTCAATTTATGGTGGTCATAGCAGCAGGGACCTGAGGCAGCTAGTCTGTCGCTTGTTCTTTGTGTGCTGAGATTGGGTTTCTGAGGGTCACCTTGAGTTCCTGACCCTCTTGTACACCCCCCCTTGTTGGTATTACAAGTGTGCACCCTTTTATTAAATTCCTATTATTGTGGCTTTTATCATACTTAGTTTTTGTGAGTTTTTTACTTTTGTGTTTCAGATTAAAGCATTGACATCTTTGTTTCAAACCGTAGGGTTCTCTGTGGGTGATTTGACCCTTCGGAGGGTCCTAGGCGGTGTGTGGAGACTCTTCTGGTTACCATAACTTGAGTGAGGTTCTTAGTAAGTGGTAGGTAGGTAGAGTACTGGGGATGTGGGACACCCTCTAATGAACCACATCCCACAGCAAAGATGATCTGACTCAGAATTATCATTAGTGCTTTGGTTGAGAAAAGCTGCTCCAAACTCATAAACCATTCATTCTTTTTAGATTTTAACAGTAACCCTAGAAGAAGAAAGGCTTTAATTCCTTGTTTGAAGGGACACTAAAATTTAGAGAGGCTTAATACTGACTATAATCTCCTATGATCCTTTCTCTGTCTTCTGTCACTTTGAGGGTGGTCCAGAGAGATTGTGGCATTACTGTCTTCTAGGGTTGAAGAGATGGCTTGGCCATTAGGAGCACTTACCCTTGCAGAGAATCTGGTTTCCGTTTTCAACACTAACACCATCAATAGTTCCAAGGGATCTGATGGCTCCTGATCTGTGAGCACCAAGCACACATGTGATGGACATACATAATACAGGCAAAATATTCATACTCAAAAATGAATCTGAAAAGGAAATTTAAGAAAAAAAATTTCAAGTTCTTGCTATCCACATCCCTCTTTCTGTACACTTTTTAAAATTTTTAAAGTGCTAGTTTAGATGACAGTGCCCTTAAAATTGAAGCAACCCATTCTTCACCTTTAGAAAGAGTGGAATTCTTCTCAAATAGGGAAATGTAAACATTTTGAGACATAATGTCTTGCTAGTGCAGCACAGACGAAATAAGATTTTTTTTAAAAAAAAAATTTACGAAGACAAATTGGGTGCCAGTGAGACAACTAGATAAGCCTGATGACCTGAGTTTAGGCCCCCGGAACCCACACCAAGATGGAAGGAAAGGAAAGATTCCACAGAGTTGCCCTCTGATCCATTTATTTTCAAAAAAAAAAGTCTGATTAATACCAAGTATTAGTTTACTTACTATGCAAAGTTACCTTAAAAAAAGCAGTGTAAGTAATCCCAGCACTCGGGAGGCAGAGGCAGGCGGATCTCTGTGAGTTCGAGACCAGCCTGGTCTACAGAGCTAGTTCCAGGACAGGCTCCAAAGCCACAGAGAAACCCTGTCTCGAAAAACCAAAAAAAAAAAAAAGCAGTGTAAGTAAGAATTCGTTTGGTTCACGGTTTAAGGGTGTATTCCATCATAGTGGGGAAATGACAGCTGGAGCTGGGACAGTTGGTCTCACTGCATCTGTAGTCAGGAAGCAGAGGAAGGTGAACGAATGCTAGTATTCTTATCTTTCTGTTTTTTATTCAGTCCAGGACCCCATCCCATGGAATGGCACTGCCTACATTTAGGGTGAACCTTCCTACCTTAATAAACTTAATCTAGAAACTCCACTCACAGAAAGACCTAAAGATTTATTTTTGTTGTGATTCTAGATCTTGTCAAATTGACAAGATTAATAATCATTACAGTTGGCCTTAACATATATGAAAAGGCATATTTATTTCCTTATATCAGGGCTGGAAAGATGGCTCAGCAGTTAAGAATGCTTGCTGCTCTTACAATGGACCAGAGTTTGGTTCCCAGCACTCACATCAGGTGGCTCCCATCCACCTGTAACTCCAGTTCCAGGGGATCTGATGCCCCCTTCTAGCTTCCACAGGTACCCACACATACATGCGTGTATATACACATATACATTTTTAAAATTCCTTAGGCTATGATACCAAGTCTCACTCTTTGGCTTGCATCTGTAAATCTGTTTGATCACTCTGTAAATTGTAGTTTCAGGGGGGCATTTGTGCTTCTGATTAAAGGATAATTATAAATAATATAAAAATGTCATTCTGCTGTTATAGATGTGAGCTATATCTTTCTGAATTTTTAATCATTGCTCAGTTGTGTTCCTAAAATTTCTTTTGGAGTTTAACCTAAGGAAGGTGAGGAGGATTTTATAGCAAAACATTAAGATTTGATCTTTTTAATTCAATTTGAAAGTAATGTATGACATAACAAATAATAGTGTGTTAATCAAAAATTACTTGTTTTTTTAAGGATAACAAAGCCGATGTCATTTTAAAATACAACGCAGATGAAGCTAGAAGTCTCAAGGCATATGGCGAGCTTCCAGAGCATGGTAATGAATGGCTGAGTCTTTATTAACTTGTCACATGCTAGTGTTTAGGCAATGAAATTTTGTTCCTCCTATTTGTTTTTGTGTTTGCATTAGTAGAGTTAAATATACCTGCTTATACTTCATACTAGATACCATAGAAAGGTTATTAAAATTCTGTTCTTGATAAGAGTGTTTAATGAGAAATTACATTGTCAGCCAAAGGAATTATTTCTTATGGTATTTTAAAATCTCTTCAAGAAAAGTTGGCAGTGCAGTTCGGTAGAGGCCACCTTCGCATGTACAAGACCTAGATCGAATGACAAGCACTACTGAAAAAGATCTCTTCAAGAGTCTGTCCTTTATATGTGTAAATACAAAGTCAGTGATTAAGTAGTATGGATTGTTTCCCCCTCAAAATACAAGCCTTCTGTAACCTTATCAGAGGGAAAAGAGATATTTGGTGGTGGAGTAGCATGTCTTATTTCTTTTCATTCCTTAGGGAAAAGTATGATTTGCCCAAATGTTTCTTCCTAATTAATGATTGGTGGGTGTAGGGGATGTGTTACATCTCTGGAGCTCCAAAGATATCCTGGCTTATCAGGAAGCCAGGCTATACTTACAGCCGCAATAGGACAACTCAGCCCTAGAGGGAAAGTATCCTTACTTTATTGGGAAGCAGGCTACCTGAAGCTGTGTTGTGTTGGGGGATAGTCTCTCTGCAGGACATAGCAATCCTGCTCTTCTGGAGAGCTGCTACAGCTGAGCCTCTGTTAAAGGAATGTCCTAGCCGAGCTATCAGCTTGTCCCAAGATGTTACTTCTTTTGCTGACACCGCTAAAAGGCAGCCCCTGCAGAAATGCACCACTCTTCTCCCGCTCTTCGAAAAGTTCTTTCTTTCTCTGCTCAGCCTTGCTCAGCCCCCATCCCCCACCTTAGGGAGCATCCCAGCAAGGTTTCTCAGCTCAATCCCCTAAGAAGTGTCCCAGCCAGGTTCTTCTATTCTGTGCCTGCAAGTGAAGATCTTTAACCAAGACTTTTGAGAAAGAGATTTATTTGGGAAGGAGTTCAAGAGAGTGGCTGTTTCTGCAGCAGGTAGAAAGAACAAGTAGAAAGGTTTACATAGGGCTTCTTAGGGGTGGAGTTTTCCAGGGAGAAGAGGAACTGATTAGTTCTCCCTTTTCAGGGATTGGTTAGTTAGTTAGGGGCAGAGATGGTTCTGATCTCGAGGCCATACTATTTCTTTCACTGGTCTTTTTTAGCCTTGTGACTCTCATCTTAGGACCAGGGCGTATTTCTTTCACTGACTCTGATTCTAGGGACAAAGTGTGTTTCTTTGACACTGGTTTCAGAGTCGGGGCATGTTTGTTTGGTCCTGGGTTTAGGGATAAAGATGTTTCTTTTACTGGCTCTGAGTTCAGGGTGCTCAGGGACTGGTTGGTTTCCTGCTCCAGTTGTCCCTTTTACCCTATAGTGGAAATAAGTTCTTTTCTTATTAGTGTTTGATTGATTAATTGATTGATTGATTGATTGATTCTGTATGGTTCATTTTTTCTGGACACTTGAAACAATCACTAATCCCAAGTCCAGCAAATGACTCCTCCAACTTTTCTCCCTCCTAGAATAACTCACTTTTTCTTTCTTTCTTTTTTTGAGATAGGAAATAAAGTTGTTAGTATATGCACAAATTTCTGAAGCATACCTAGAGGGTATAATTGCTTCAGAGAATTAGAACTTGACTTGCTAAATAGCCCTTGTGTACAAAAGAAATTCTGTATAGCCAAATTAGTAGAAAGTTGGAAGTCAACATTTTGATTATATTATCAGTATTTTTCTTGTGTGTTTTTGTTAGCTAAAATCAATGAAACTGATACATTTGGTCCTGGAGATGATGATGAAATTCAGTTTGATGACATTGGGGATGATGATGAAGACATCGATGATGTAAGTAGATACAGCCTGCTTTTTCTGGTTTCTGTTCATGAGTTACATACATAGATACTGTCCCTTTCCCTTAGATTCCTATAATACTGGGAATATAGAACATTTGAGTGAGAGAGTCTATTTAGGGGTGAGAGGAACATGAAAGTAAAGGCACTGTTCAGAAATAGGAAGATCAAGGTGAAGAGATAAAAGGATAGTGGGTGAATATTGAATAGAGGCAAAATGTACATGTATAAAATGTCACAATGAGAGCCACTATTTATCCCTGGTGATATATAAAAATAAAAAGTATATTTTGAGACTTAGCTGTGTGTTAAAATCACAAGAAGTATTTAGAGGTCAAACTGTTAGCAAGTGTGGTAAGATATACCTGTAATCCTGATAATTGGGAGGCTGAAGCCAGGTGACTGCTGCAAGTTTGAGGTCAGCCTTGATTGTAATACCAGCACATACCAGGCCAGCCGGATCTACATAGCAATACTTTGCACCACACCCAGAGTACATACAATTTTTATTTTATGTACATTGGTGTTTTGCTTGCTTGTATGTCTGTGTGACAACATCAGGTCCCCTGGAACTGGAGTTACAGTCAGCTGTGAGTTGCCATGTGGAATTGAACCCTGGTCCTCTGGAAGAGCAGTCAGTGTTCTTAACCACTGAGCCATTTCTCCAGCCCTACTCAATACATCTTTAAAAACACATAATAGCCGGGCGGTGGTGGCGCACGCCTTTAATCCCAGCACTCAGCGGTGGTGGCGCACACCTTTAATCCCAGCACTCGGGAGGCAGAGGCAGGCGGATCTCTGTGAGTTCGAGACCAGCCTGGTCTACAAGAGCTAGTTCCAGGACAGGCTCCAAAGCTACAGAGAAACCCTGTCTCGAAAAACCAAAAAAAAAAAAAACATAATAACTCATAACCATCTCTGACTCCAGTTCAGGGGACTTACATGCCTTCTTCTTGCCTCTGAGGCCATTAGGCACACGTGTGATATGCACAAAAAGGAAATAACATTTTAACAATAGAAAGTGATTTTTTTAACTTTTTCTTTTCCAACACAGGGTTTTTCTGTTTAACAGCCCCAGCTGTCCTGGAACTCACAGAGATCCACCTGCCTCTGCCTCCGAAGGAGTGCTGGGATTAAAGGTGTGCGACACCACCACCACTCTTGAGCATTTTTAATGTAGTTTTCTTGAGCCTAGCCAAAAGCATTTCTCTAATTACCCCCAACACACACACTTTTATGATGTAGCATATAATTACTGTGTGATTCTCTAGTAATTCAGAAAGAGAGGAGGAAAGGGAAAAATAGGAAGCCACAGGTGATGCCGAATTTATGTTTCCCTTTTTAATTTTTTTTTCTTAAGTGTAGTTTTGGTGGTTTGGGTGCCCATGGAGACCAAAAGAGGGCATCAGGAGCTGGGATTAAAGACAGTTGTGATGCACCCAATGTAGGTGCCAGTAACAAGACTGCAATAGCAGTAGATACCCAATGAGCCATCTCCGCCCCAGAATTTCCATTGTTATGAACATTATTCTGAAACATTTATTTTGTATGTATGAATGAATGATGGACATGTACACTCATGCTAGGGGATGCATGTAGAGGTAAGTTCATGTGGGTTCCAGAGAACCTCAGGCCATTTTTGGGGGGTGATGGTGGTTTTTTGTTTTGTTTTGTTTTTGATTTTCGAGACAGGGTTTCTCCAAAGCTTTTGGTTCCTGTCCTGGAACTAGCTCTTGTAGACCAGGCTGGCCTCGAACTCAGAGAGATCCGACTGTCTCTGCTTCCCGAGTGCTGGGATTAAAGGCATGCGCCACGACCGCCCGGCATGGTAGTGGTTGTTGTTTGTTTGTTTGTTTGTTTTAAATAAGAGTTTGTTGTATCACCTGAGAACTCTGCTCTTTCTCTTGGGGGACATTTCTCTGGCTGTTTTCTAAGTGTTGATAAGTGTTCTATCTGTACTCCTGTAATCAACTTGAAAGAAAAGGTTTGAAGACATACCTACCTAGTTCTCAAAAGAGATCATGTTCCTTCATGTCTGTTGCTACTCCAAAAGTATAAAATCTCAAATCTGGGCTAGAGAAATGGCTCATTGGTAAAGGATGCTTGTTGCTCATGCAGAGGACCCTGCTTTGGTTCCCAGCACACACATGAGGAGGCAGCTCACAACTGCCTGCAACTCCTGCTCCAGGGAACTTGACGACTTCTGGCCTCCACTGGCACCCACATACATAAGTGCACACACAGGTACACCCATACACACAAATAAAGAAAACTTAGTCTTTTTTATTTAAAGAAGTAAAAATGTAAAATAAATTATCAAATACGCAATGCAGAGGGAAGGAGACAGCAAACCTCATTAAGAATATTCTCGTTCTCTGTTAGTTCAAGGCCAGTCTGGTCTACAAAGTGAGTTCCAGTATAGCCAGGGCTATACAAAGAAACCCTGTCTCTAAAAAAAGAAAAATGAATGTTCTCGGGGGCCAGACATGGTGACACAGTACTCAGGAGGCAGAGGTGGGCGAATCTCTTTGAGTTCAAGGTCAGCCAGCCATATAGAGTGAGGTTCCTCCCCCCCCAAAAAAAAAAAACTAAAAGGAAGGAAGGACAATAAAGAATAGTCCCGTAGACTAGAGAGATGGCTGGGTGGATGGTTAAGAGCACTTACTACTGTTACAGAGGTCCTCAGTTTGATTCTCACACTGCCTATAACTCCAGCTCTAGGGAATCCAGTACCATCTTCTGGCCTTGGTAGGTACCTGCACACACAAATATACTGACCTCGAACTCTATACTACCTAACTACCTACCTGCCTACCTGCCTCAGCCTCCCAAGCGCTGGGATTAAAACTGTACCACCTCACCTGACTAATATACATATTCTTTAGAAAAATAGCATGTATCACGTAAAATATTATGAAAATCAGAATTTCTCAAAGTGAGCTGCAATACAGAAAAGCTTATTTGGGGAATTTTCTCTTGACTGGGTGGATTTCCTATATGGCCTGTGAGAACATTTCCCTTGCACACAGAGTATTAGAATTTAAGAGTACTTTTCTCCTGGATTGGCTCAGGGTAAAGTGCTTGCCAGGCCCTCAAGAATCTGTTATAGAGTCCACATACTGCTGGCTATAGTACCTTCTCTAAACCTAGGGTTTTTATGGCAAGATTGGAGGAGGAGGCAGAGGAATTTTTGGAAGCTCTTAGGCCAGCTAGCCTGACATACAGAACAGTGAACAATGCTAAAAGTGAGGGCCAACACCTGAGGTCCTCGTACTCCAAGCCACCTAACACACACAGCACCCAAAGTAGTACATGTAAAGGATCCTTTTAGAATTGCTTTTTCCCTTTGACTTAATGTCCTTTTCTCTTTCAGATCTGAAATGAACTCAACATTTTACATTCCAGTCCTTCTGAAGATTGCCCTGCAAGTTTGGAATCTGGTCATAGACTTCAAGGAAAAGTTTTCCCTGATTGATTGTAATTTGTTGAGACAGACTCAATTCAATACTAAGGTCGCTTTTTTCAAAGCTGAAAATATCTTAAGTGATATGTTAAGCCCACTTTGATCATTTGATGTAATTGAACTCAAAAAAGATCATGTAAGAAAAAATATACATTACTGCCTTTCCTACTTTGACCCCTTCCAGTAAGTAAATGGATGTTTTGAATAAACAATTTGCCTTGTATGCATAAATTATGATTAAGCCCTCCCTTTTGCATAGCTGTTGACTGTACAAAGTACAGTCTTTGTGTATATTCCAGTTGCCCAGAAATTTTGATACAAATGGAGGCAGAAATCTGTTTTATGTTTTATTGTGTTATATTTTGAGACAGAATCCAACTTTGTATCTGAGGCTAGCTTGGGATTCACTATAGTCCTAGTGAACCCATACTCACTATGATCCTCCTTTCTCAGCCTCCTGGGTGCTGAGATTAAATGTATTTACCACACCAGGCAGAAATCTATTTAAAGGCAAAAGTGATAGGTTTGCTTTTCATATTTAAAAGTATGTATGTGGCTATTTTTATACTAGTTTTGATAACATGTACGTTCTTAGGATTTATTTTGCAGTCATCAACTTACTGGGGGAGGAAAGGCATTTCCAAAATGTTTTTAGAAACTGGTTTTTAATATTTTAAATTAAGGTCGGTAGTTGCAGAAATTGAACACTAGGTGGTGCTCAGTTGTCTTAACATTGGTAATAACTTTTAATTAATTAAGATGGTTTCTTTTCTCAACTAGTGTGATTAGGAAATTCCCAAACGAGGAAAAGATTGTTTTACTCATGTGCATAGAATATTTTTACCAAAATATCGTGTGGGAATGTTCCTTTTTCAGGAGTCTTACTCGCCCAAGCTACATTTCTGAGGGCTTTATAAATACATAAAATAGGCAAGTGAAATTTTCAGCTCATAAGAATATGAATATTGTGGAACAAAGTAAAAATTAATGTTTTTTTCAGGTTTCCCTAAATTGAGGGGAAAATGAGGGAAGCAAACTTAAACCTGATATAATGGCATGACCTATAACCCTGCACTTGTGAGGTCTAGGCAGGAAAATCAGTTCAAAAATAAACGTAGTGAAAAGATGTTTTCTTATTTCTGAATCAAAGAGCTGTAGCTGAGAAAATAGCATGCTGCAGAGGATATTATACTTTGACTTTACATTAGGGAGAAGTTTATTATGTAGACAGTCCAGGGGGTTCCCATTTTCTTTCTACTGGGAATTTAGGTTTGCTCTTATTTAGGAGTTATTATTGCAGTTAGATGGGCTAGTCAGAACTCACTGTACGCACTGAAAGCTTGCAAGTTTATAAACTAAGATCCATCGTGCAGTTTGTGGACCTTGTATTCTAGTAGCATCCAGAAAATTTCATTAATGAAAAGTAATACACAAAGGAATGCATATTACATGGTTTCAAAAACCAAGATCTTTTCTGTGATCCCTTTCTTTTTTGGGTTTTTTTTTTTTTTTCGAGACAGGGTTTCTGTGTGGTTTTGGAGCCTGTCCTGGAACTAGCTCTTGTAGACCAGGCTGGTCTCAAACTCACAGAGATCCGCCTGCCTCTGCCTCCCAAGTGCTGGGATTAAAGGCGTGCGCCACCACCGCCCGGCTTGTGATCCCTTTCTTAACTATGACTTCATCTCAGGTTTTCTTACTCAGTTTCAAAATTTATGGAACAGTAGGAAAGATGAAGTGATGTGGTCTGTATTTCTTAATCTGAGGAGTTTCTTAGTGCATATCTATCTAGGCAGAGTATATCTGAGAACAAGGGCTGAAACTAACCTTGAGATACTTGCTAATCATCGTCTTCATCAGTAATTAGACCTCTGGACCTTAAAAGTGTTTCACCAGCTGGATGTAGCATACACCTGTGATCCCAGCACAGGAGAATTTGTTAATATTGGCCAGGGCTACATAAGACTCTGTCTCAAAACCAACAATGAAAACCATTTTTACTAAATTTGCAGAGTATATAGTTAAGCATTTTATGGGCAGTGTTTTAAGTCTACATAGGTGATACAGCTCAAATCAAAAGTTGATTTTCTTCCTGTAACAAACAGGATTTGAAATGTTTTTAGAAATTACATATGACCCCGTTTCCTGTACCTTCTGGTGGTTTTAATCTATTTTCTTGCCTAAATAGTAGCAACATTAACTAATGAGTGTTCTTGTGTCCCGGATGATCTGGAGTCATACTGGTTTAAAGTAGTTGAATACAGTTGTCACTAATATGCAAATGCTACCTGGAAGAGTTCTTTGATGTGTATTTGGTATGGAAATTAATACGTTTAACTAATTCAACTTTATTTCAAATAAGGAAAAGGAAATGGTCTTCAAGGAAATTTTGTATTTTATTTTTGCTTTGACTTCTATAGTATAACTCTATTATAAGCAGTGCCCATAAAGAAAAATAAAATGTTTAAAATCTAAGAATAATGCTATTTTGTTTTGTGTAGGGGAGGGTTTTTTGTTGTTGTTGTTGTTGGTGGTGGTGGTGGTGGTTTTTTTTGGTTTTTTGGTTTTAGTTTTTCAAAACAGGGTTTCTCTGTAGCTTTGGAGCCTGTCCTGGAACTAACTCTGTAAACCAGGCTGGCCTCAAACTCACAGAGATCACCTACCTCTGCCTCCTGAGTGCTGGGATGAAAGGCATGCGCTGACACCACCCAACTGTTTTTGGTTCTTTGAGACAGGATCTCATATAGCCCACGCTAGCCTTGAAATACCAACAGCTGATGCTGACCTCGAACTTCTGATCCCTCTACCTTTACCTCCCAAATGGTGGGGTGACAGGTGTGTACAAGCACACCCAACTAAATAGTATGTCTTCCTGCTAAGATGAAGTAACAGGTTAATTAATTTGATAATCTCACACCAGGCTTTTGTTCTGATCCTGATCACCCCATGAATGAACCCAGAACTCAGTTAATGGGGTTGTCGTTTTCCTGTAATTTTTTTTTCCAGATAGAGCATGAACATGGTGTGTTGCTACAGTGCCTGAGTAACCACACCAAGCATCCCTGTAAAAAGACTTGCTGAGATTTAGTTGTTTGCCTTGTCTGTTGAATCTTTCTTACCATCTTAACTTTTAAGGGAACTTTTAGGAGACTACAAAGTATTCATGACCTGAATTTTATATTTTATTTGGAAAATAGCCATTGGTTTACTCATCCCATGTATGGAATCATAGCTATAAGTTGTCACTTAAAAATTTCGTGACTTGTAATGTTACTTAATCTCAATTGTCTTAGTAAACTTTATATAACTGTTGAACAACATCTTCAATAAGTAGAAGTAGTGTTGGCTGCAGAGTAACTGAGTAATCAAATATGTTAAAGCATGTTTTAAATAGATTTCTACTCAATTTGTATTCTGTACAGATTTAATGATGTCCACTATAAACTGTGGCTTACAGGTAAAGATCAGAATGAAGACAGTTCTGTATGTTACCCTGCCTTTCATAAAGATTAAAAAGATTTGTATCAGTGTATGATATTTATCCTGCTTAGTAAGGATAAAAGTTTCATTTATATAGTGATAGAACCCCCACAGACTTTTGCACAGTACCTCTTTATGTGCGCGGTTTTCCTTAAACCATCATTTTCCATCCTTGTTCAGAAAAGAATAAAATCTGAATTAAGTTGTATTACAAGTGTAAGTAAACACTAGAATGAGCAGTTGAGAGGTTGTACTGAACAGCTCTACCAGTTTCTTGAGAGACAGTGTGTTAGAAATAGAGAAGGAAGAACGTGGGCCCTGGGGCTAGTTGTCCTGTACCCTATACCCCAGTCAGTGCTCTATTAAGTATCCACCACTACCTTTCCAGCTTGTCTCAGCTTCATAAGCCTGATCTGGGATATAGGGCGGAATATAACACCTTCTGTAGAATTATTGGAGGGTTAATAACATGTTTGTATGTGTGACACTATTGGTGTCTGCTTTGCACATGGAAACCCAGGACCACATAAGACAGAAGATACATGTCTCCTGTGTTCACTGTGTCTTGCTTGCAGTTGTTAATTACTATGATAGAAGGAGTGTGTAGAATATATATTTGTATTGTGCAGACACTACAGTTACTACCACACTATTGTTATTTAATTCAACAGGTGGGAGTCTCCCAAGTTGCTTGCAGCTATTTTATGGAATTCCAGCCGCTCTATATTCAGAGAAAGTTTGTAGTTAATAATAATGCTGGCTGTGGTAACGCCATTTTTATGCTTTAATGAGTCCTTTTGCTAGAGATTCCCATCATGTGGAACAATGTAAAGATGTCAGATGCAAACTACAGCAATTAGGAAATAAACCACAAAACAACCCAAGAATGTAAAGAATTGGTTCTTTTCCTACTAACATATTTAACTACTTAGATGTTAAAGGTGATTCTTAGTTTTGTTGGGTTTTTTTTAAAACTTAAGTGTGATTTATTAGAAAAAAAGTGCACTTGTACATTTTATCCAGTTCTGTTTTTATAAATCTGATTTTGATTATTTGAACTGAATGGATGCTTGATGTCATGCTTCTTAGTGCAAACCTGTAGTGAAGAAGACATTTCCTAATGGTAAGTCATTTGTTCAAAATGAACTCAAATTACAAAAGTGGTATTCAGTGCACCTTCTGTGCTATGCAAATACATATATGTGAACCTGAGTTTCTGGCCAACATGTTGGCTTCTACTCTGGTCTTGTGGAGAGTGAGTCAGGTAAGAGGATCACACTGTGTAGCTCATGTGGATCTTAAATTCCCAATACTGCCTCAGCCTCCCATGCGGTGGGATCGCAGGCACACACCACTCACCATCCCCAGCAAGAGACCCATGCCAGAAAGTTTACAAATTTGAATGTAAACTCAATTTTTCCTTTACTGTGAGTTGGCAG